GTCTAAGAGTGGGAGCCAGGAAACACCCTTACATCTGTTAAGGGGTAGAATATTGGGTGCTTCCCTTTCTCTGAAGACTGAAGCTGTTTGATACTTAAACAAAGCATGTTGAAATGATTTTGCAACGCTTTGTTCAGCACATTGGAAAGGACAACATTGGCACCAGCTTCCCGCGATTCCCTCTGGGTCAATCTGTTACGATGGAAAGTAGAAGACACTTAAATGATATAATAAACTTGAAACTATTACACAAACCTGCTTCATGTTTGCATTTTAGATACATGGATTTAAATGTTGACAGTTCAGAGCTGGCTCTATGGTTGAGGGGAAAAGTGGTCTCTTGTGGACCCCATCTTATATCAATGGCACTAGGAAGATTTAACTGTTGATAGTGGCATCAGCAGTGGTATAATCTGCCACAGGTAGTTGTGAGAAGGTAGTTGTGACATGGGTGGCACTGTGGGTTAAACCACAGAGCCTAGGACTTGCCGATCAGAAGATCGGTGGTTTGAATCCCCGCGACGGGGTGAGCTCCCGTTGCTCAGTCCCTGCTCCTGCCAACCTAGCAGTTCGAAAGCACATCAAAGTGCAAGTAGATAAATAGGTACCGCTCTGGTGGGAAGGTAAATGGTGTTTCCGTACGCTGCTCTGGTTTGCCAGAAGTGGCTTAGTCATGCTGGCCACATGACCCGGAAGCTGTACGCCGGCTCCCTCTGCCAATAAAGCGAGATGAGTGCCGCAGCCCCAGGGTCGGCCACGACTGGACCTAATGATTAGGGGTCCCTTTACCTATACCTAGTTGGGACTACAATTCCCATCATCCCTGACCACTGGTCCTGTTAGCTAGGCATGATGGAAGTTGTAGTCCCAAAACATCTGGAGGGCCGAGTTTGCCTATGCCTGATGTGTGGTTTCCCCTCATGCTGTGTTGCTCCCATTCCTAACTGGTGTTAACCATGTTAATTGTGCCCCCTTAAACCTGCTTAAATACTGGGCCCCTTGAACCTGCCGTAGAAAGCCAGGTGTTGATACCAGCCCTGCCTGTGGTTTGTTTGTTTTCATTTCTAGTACAGAATGTAGCCACAATTTAATCAGCTAAGGAGATACTGATTTCCTATTGTTTGCAACTGACTCCCACTTTATTCAGAAACAGCAAAGATGGAAATCCATGGTGAGCTCTAAGAGCTGCTTGCCTTATTTCAGGTGTGGGGAAAAAATCGTGTTAGGGAAGAAAGAGACCAAGGAAAGAACACTTCATATTGTCTGTGAAAAGCGAGCATTGGATTCATAGCTCTGGCAAGTTCATCGCACCACTTAGCACGTTTATACAGTTTACGGAACTGCTGAGCTGAAACCACTAAGCTCTTCTCAGTCTGTGATCCCAAAAGTAAATGCATGCGCCTCATTTGGTTAAGCCAGCAGCATTTTTCTGTTTTCAAAATGCTATTTCAGGGGCATACTCCCTACACGATCTAATCCACCACTCAGATAGATTTGCCATAGAAATACATTTACTAAGAATAATTCTATAGTGATACACACCAGATGCAGCTTCCTGAGTAGGGCAGAGCTTTTATGCCAGCTTCCCGGAAGGTAGGTCACTGTCGTTTAATGGGTGGAAGGAGTGAGGTGGTATGGAGGTCAGTTCAAAGGCACCGGCAGAGCCAATCTGGTCCTCCTTTTCACTGTGCCAACCTCCCTTCAACCTCCCTCCCCCCCTTTCCCAGAAAGCTGCAGTGCCCCATCTGTTTTGTATGTACCAGTGCCCACCAGGAATATGACTTCAGCAGAAGCATACAGAGGCAACAATCATGAAAGTGTATTTTACAAAACTGTCTTAGTATTGCAAACCTGAGAAACCAGTGGGCATTTTCACATTGTCTCAAGGTAAGGGTTCAGTGGGCAGACTTGGGATTTCAAGGAAGTGCTTTGGGTGCCCATCACAAAATGTTGTGGGTGGGGGGACACCACACAATAGTCACTGTGAGGTTGGAGTAAAACAAAGCATCTCTGCCACATCTAAAGGAACAGCAAATGAGACAGGGCCACAAAACATACACTTCCATCAGTGGAAAGCACCTAAATCAGCCGTCACTGTGCTTGCTCACTGAGAGAAGAGGAGGAGGAGGAGGAGGAGGAGGAGGAGGAGGAGGAGGAGGAGTTTGGACTTGATCTCCCACCTTTCACTCCCCTTAAGGAATCTCAAAGCAGCTAACAATCTCCTTTCCCTTCCTCTCCCACACTCTGTGAGGTGAGTGAGGCTGAGAGACTTCAGAGAAGTGTGACTAGCCCAAGGTCACCCAGCAGCTGCATGTGGAGGAGCAGGGAAGCGAACCCAGTTCACCAGATTACGAGTCCACCGCTCTTAAACCACGACACCACACTGGCTCTGAGCATGTCTATCATGCACTGTAGGATTTTGAGGGGACATTTACTCAGACCTTTTGCTGCTGCCATTGGCAGCTCCCAATCTAGAGAACAGTTTGGGTTGATTCACAAACATGCACATGTTTCATTTAAACTGGCCACAGTTTATGTGAACTGGCCCTGTTAGAGGGGGCTAATCCCTGTTTCATTTACTTCTCCTTTCCTTCCTTCCTTGTGACCAGGTATTTAAGTGGCTTCTCCTTGTTCCCCAACATAGCAGCATGCCAGATAAAGAGTCTTTCTGGGTACATTGCCATTCTCAAGTTTCAACCATTGAAGGAATTTATGATCATTGGGCCCATAATTCATTATGCACATTTCCCTCACAATCCAGTAAGTTCCAATAATGGCTGAGCACTCCCCTGTGAGTGTGCGGTCCTTAGAATCATAGAATCATAGAGTTGGAAGAGACCACAAGGGCCATCAAGTCCAACCCCCTGCCAAGCAGGAAACACCATCAGAGCACTCCTGACATATGGTTGTCAAGCCTCTGCTTAAAGACCTCCAAAGAAGGAGACTCCACCACACTCCTTGGCAGCAAATTCCACTGTCGAACAGCTCTTACTGTCAGGAAGTTCTTCCTAATGTTTAGGTGGAATCTTCTTTCTTGTAGTTTGGATCCATTGCTCCGTGTCCGCTTCTCTGGAGCAGCAGAAAACAACCTTTCTCCCTCCTCTATGTGACATCCTTCCTATTCCCTTCAAAGGAAAGGCCATGATAGCAGATCCATGCACAGAGCTGCCTCCTCCACTGATATGAATGGGGAATAAAGGTAAAGGACCCCTGGATGATTAAGTCCAGTTAAAGGCGACTATGGGGTTGTGGCGCTCATCTCGCTTTCAGGCCGAGGGAGCCAGTGTTTGTCCACAGACAGCTCTCCGGGTCATGTGGCCAGCATGACTAAACTGCTTCTGGCACAATGGAACACTGTGATGGAAACCAGAGTGCACAGAAATGCCGTTTACCTTCCCGCCACAGTGGTACCTATTTATCTTCTTGTACTGGCGTGCTTTTAAGCTGCTAGGTAGACAGGAGCTGGGACAAAGCAGCGGGAGCTCACCACGTTGTGTGGATTTGAACTGCCAAACTTCTGATCTGCAAGACCAAGAGGCTCAGTGGTTTAGACCACAGTGCCACCCGCATCCCATGAATGGGGAATATGCACAAGCAGGGGGTCTCTGGAGGAACATTGCAGTGAACACAGGGTATTGGAGTGGGGACAGTACGAGTTCCCTTTACTCTTGCAAAAACAAGCTATGATGAAAGGAATTAGTTCATCTTCATAGGTCAGCAGGAGCTTTAACCATTTAAACAAATCCTCTGGATTAAATGTATTACATGCTAATCCTAAGAAGGCTGAGAGATACTGACAAGAACAAGGTCGGCCAATGAACTCCATTACTGAATGGGGATTTGAACTTGAGCTTTTCCTGGTCCTAGTTCAATACCCTGCCCACAATACTACACTGGGTTTTGAAGCATTTTATGTGAAGAAGCAAATCCCTTTTTACTAGTGACGTTGATGTGTTTCGAATTGCCTAGTTAGTGGTGGCTAACTTGTAATGCATTATGAATAGGGATGGGGGATAAATTCAGTTAAGTTCGCTTTTGTAGGCTAAGCCCATCTAATTCACACTTTTCAAAACAAAGTGCAAATTAAAGCACAGCCATCCTTCAAAAGCTACACTTCTCTGAATTTTGCAATGCAATTCTCCAGACTTGTCAGGTGTACAAAAATGAATGTAGCAGGTTAAAGTGTGCATTAAAAATACATATACTATCGAGGGTAGAATACAAAATGCAAAAATGTGCACATTAAAAGAAATTCACACTGTGGAGAATTGAACGGAAGAATGAAAAACTTGAGAAACCGAAATGGACAGAATTGCCAATCCCTAATTATGAATAGAGTATCATTTCCCCAGGAAATTCTTTTCCAGAATGTAAAATGTATATTTGCCTGCAAAGCAGCCTGTTTTGTGGGCTGTGTGCTGAATGCGCTCTGACATTTTTGTGAGATTTTTAGGAGTGGTGGAAAGGCAAAAGGGGAAGGGGATGAGGAAAGATATGTGGAACAAGTTTTAATACTTTAGGGGGCATTTCTAAAAGTGAAAAATACACTCATTTTTCATGATATAATAATAAATTATGTCAGTGATAGAGACAATCACTTCTCCTTTCTAAATTCCCCCTCCTATCTGAAACAGTTTTTCTGCTGCTCCCCCCCCCCAGCTGAAGTAGTCTTCCCCTATATGCCTGGAGCCATTTCATCCCACAAGGAGAAACATCCTTCCTTTCTTCATCAGATGCATTGTGGGACAAGACAGGCTGGGGTGGATAAAAGGCGACCACTCTGCCAATACCACCATCACCACCAGTTTATTTACATGCCACTCATTCACAAAATTGTGCCCCAGCTGGCTCACAATGTATCAAACGAGCAATAACCATAAAAAAGAAAATTAGAAATAATCATGACATCAACAAATATTAAAAAAACAACAACCAGTTCATGGGTTCATAGAATCAGAGTTGGAAGAGACAACAAGGATCATCTAGTCCAATCCCCTGAATGCCCAACGTGGGGCTTGAACCCACAAACATTGAGACTGAAGAGTCTTGCGCTTTACCAGCTGAGCTATGTTGGTAATGGTTCATCTGTGCACGAAAGAACCAAGGCTTTGGTTTTACCCACTGTGAAGCTGGACCAGGTGCCATATGTGAGAATATATCAGTAAATAGATCAGAAGGCAAACCGAACAGTTTCTTCACTTCTGTCTTTGTGAATCTGAGAAGGGATATAGCATATTTATTTCTTGGCATGCTACAGGCAAGCCTTTCTTTCTCTGGTCCCAGAAGTTGTATTTCTAGTGCAAACAGCTACAATGCTGTTACATGGGAATTCACTCAGTTTTCTCAAAGTAATAAAGGCCTCTGAGGTGAAGATCATTAGTTAGACTATTCAACCTCACATTGGCTAAAACATCAATGAACAGGCTAGTCACATTCCGGTTGACATTCCGAAACCTGTGCAAGATATTTCATGTAACCTGATTTAAAGTATACTTGATTGAAGCCAAATTGGTTTTCTGCTCAGATTGATTATATATATATGCACGCGTGCGCACACACACACACACACACACACACATGCACACAGTCCAGGAAAGAATGTAGATTTCTGTGGAAAATTAATCTGTTAAGAAGCGCTGCCCAGTGAAGCTTTAAATATATTCAATATATAATATAATTGTATCTGCACATGACAGCTGTGATATGACTGTCACTGCAACTGCTTGCCTTAGAAAGCTTGTAGCAAATATGTACATTAATGAATGATCTTTCCTTCCAAAGATTCAATCAGGATTCAGACTTGAGAAAGCTAATTGACTCCCACAATTTTTGGAAGTGGGATGTCATTGAAATCAAGGGGTATACATTGCCTTACATTCATTGAGGCCAGTTAAAGTAGTCAGTGAATCGAACTGGGTGGGTAAAAACCACAGGCTTGTGCTTTGAAGGAAGCAGAATGCTTACAAAACATGTATTGCGGATGTTTTTACTAGCAAAAACATATGGCAATATATCATACAGTCCCATTCACATAATACTTGCATGCAAGTTTCCTGTGCATTGACGAAAGATCACGTTGCAAACCAGTTTAGTTGAATTTGAAATAGCATGTTTTCAACAGCTTGAACTTCGCACTTCTAAATATTATTTGTTGTAGCCAGGGGCATGGGGGGCAAGGAGGCCATGGCTCTGGGTGCACAATTTTGAGGGGGCATGAACCAGGTATTCCTAATAATAATAATAATAATAATAATAATAATTTATTATTTATACCCCGCCCATCTGGCTGAGTTTCCCCAGCCACTCTGGGCGGCTCCCAATCAAGTGTTAAAAACAGTACAGCGTTAAATATTAAAAACTTCACTGAACAGGGCTGCCTTAAGATGTCTTCTGAATGTCAGGTAGTTGTTTATCTCTTTGACATATGATGGGAGGGCATTCCACAGGGCGGGCGCCGCTACTGGTTCCTTGTAGCCTCACTTCTCGCAATGAGGGAACCGCCAGAAGGCCCTCGGAGCTGGATCTCAGTGTCCGGGCTGAACGATGGGGGTGGAGACGCTCCTTCAGGTATACAGGACCAAGGTCGTTTAGAGCTTTAAAGGTCAGCACCAACACTTTGAATCGTGCTCAGAGACATACTGGGAGCCAATGCAGACCTCTCAGAACCGGTGTTATGTGATCCGGCGGCTTAGAGATCCCTGTCCCACTCTGCCTGCTGCCTAGGGTTTTGGATCCCAGAGCCCCATCTGGCCTTGCCACTGTGTCCCTGGCCCCCTTGCTGAATGGCCACCATCTTCTCCTCTCATGCTTGCTACTTTCAGGACAAGCATTAAGAGAGCCACAATCAGCATACAGAAGGACCAGAAGGGGCATATTTGCCAATTTTGGCAGATGGGCACATTCTTTCTCCATACTTTCAACTAGGGAATTAGTATAAAAGTTGAATAACATGGGTGCAAGGACACAGCCTTGCCTTACTCCTTTATGGGTATGGATTTGCTTAGTTAAGTGTCCCTTCTGATCACATCTAATCTGGAGACATGTGTTTTCATCCAAGCTACGAATAAGAATCAAGAGGCGTCTGTCTATATTTCTGTCACTTAGTTTTTCCCATAGCCTATCTCGGGCTATAAGATCAAAGGTGGACTTAAAATCTACAAAGGTGCATAAAGGCATACTTTTCCATGAGAGGCTGAAGCACAAGTCTATGGTAGACTGCTGCACCCTAAATCTGGCTTGTGCCTCTGCTAGAATGTGTTCCTGATTCATCCAATCCACTAGTTTATTACAGAGGTGGGCAGTGTATGGTTTACTAATTATACTAAAAAGACGAATTGGTCTATAATCAGGTGGTTCAGATCTATTCCCTTTCTTACATAGTGGTATGATAATCACTAATCCCCAATCATCAGGAATAATTGCTGATTGACAGATGCTAGTGAACAAGGCTGCTGGCCCGGGGGCAGAGCCACAGAATCTGCATCCTTCAGACCTGTAGGGAAACTGTAGAGGCACACTCTCTTTCCTGTGTCACACACATTGTATACTTCACTTTGAACACAGAGGTGCTCTGCTCAAATTTCTGTCGATCAAGTTTTTTCCTGGCCAGTCAAGTCTCTGCAGCACTCAGCCAACCCCAGTCCAAAAGTATGGCTGTAGCAGAGATCCTTCCCATGCATCTGTAAGCAGGTGAAATAAAAAATTTAAGGTTATATATATATATATATATAGTTCATAAATGTACCAACCAAGCGCATACATAGATGTGTGGACCACATGGCTGGAGTAGCACAGGAGGACCCCCCTGAAACCATTTTGACTCCCAAGCTGACCAAATGTTTTCTCTGCAAGGAGGGAGGGGGTGGGGGAGCCTTCCCATTGTCTCAGGAAGTGGGTAATCACCATCTCAAAGGAATGGGCAGACTACCAGGAAAGGCAATCAGATAAGGCATTATCAGATAAGCTGGCACACAGGAAAAACAACAACATTCAAATTTCTGTTGTAGACCACCTTTTCTGTGATGTAGGTATGATTTTTGTGGGGAGTGGTCTTGGGTTACACCCCTTCTGTGATGTATGTATGATGTATGAAGGGGTGGTCTTGAGCTCCAGGGCAGGGAATTTATATAAGGGCAGGCACACCTTGGTTTTGGGTCCTCTTCCTTCTCCTGCATGGGAGGGGAGCACCCTGTTGCAACAGTTCAATAAAGATCAAGCTTACAAGCTGCTTTGCTTCTCAGTATTCTCTGTTTGGCCTCTGTTATTTTCTCTGACCAATGGAGAACCTACAAAGGACTCTGTAAGGGCTCCTGTGTCCCCCCATAAGAGAATAAGGGCAGATTTTCTTTTCTTTATTACAGAGGAAAACTATGTAGTCACTGTCTGGACAGTGTGCACTGCCTGCAAGTCTGCCCCACTATGTTGGCTTCCACTCTATCGGTTGTTGTGAGGCTAACCAGCAACCTCAGTATCGGCCTAAGTAGAGATGCCTTGAAAAGTACTCCATGCATGCTCAGCACTGTGTTCTATGGCCACACCAACACCTCAAAGCAAATAAGAAGAAGAGAAGAGTTTGGACTTGATATCCCGCCTTTCACTCCCCTTCAGGAGTCTCAAAGCAGCTAACAATCTCTTTTCCCTTCCTCCCCCGCAACAAACACTCTGTGAGGTGAGTGGGGCTGAGAGACTTCAAAGAAGTGTGACTGGCCCAAGGTCACCCAGCAGCTGCATGTGGAGGAGCGGAGTCATGAACCCGGTTCCCCAGATTACGAGACTACCGCTCTTAACCACTACACCACACTGGCTCTCAAGGTGGCGTGCTTCCTCCGAAGCACATTCTTTGTACTTCTGTCCCTTCCCCCAACAAATTTAAACAGGGGGATGTTTCAAGAAAGAAGCTTGCACAAAAGCCTTTTCTCTTGGGATTTAATTTCTCTGTGGAACCCACTCTCATCTGAGACTATCAGACAAATGGGTTTAACACAGCCTCCTGAGAGTAGACTCCCAGTCTCCCAAACTGAGAGTCGAAGCAGATGGTTTGTTTCTCTCAGATGATGGCTTCTCTTATGCTAGACAGGGTCTACCACAGCTGCTTTGTGACTGAACTGCTAAAATCACCCGCACATCCACTTCGTACAAGCAGCACTGTGGCTTTCTTCACCTCTTTTTGGAAGATAATAATAAATAAATAAATAAATAAATAAATAAATAAATAAAAATTATTTATACTCCAAAACTGGGCTCAGGGTGGCTAACAACAAATCTAAAACACTTTAAAACACTTAATTATAAAAGCAGCATAAAATACAGTATAAAAACATGAATAACAATAAAATTCAAAAATCAATTAGATAATCCCCAGGGCTAGCTGGCTGAATTGGTCCTACTTGGGCCAGCGAGGAAGCCAGCGGAGAATTAGCTGTGGGGTCTCAGAGTGGGTGATCTTCATAAAAGGGGAGGGGGAGGGAAGAGAAGGGAAATAAAAGATCAGGCTGAATTCAAATTAAAGGCCAGGCGGAATAGCTCTGTCTTACAGGCCAGGCGAAAGGAGGTTAAATCCTGAATGACCCTAGCATTCCAACAGGTTGGAGCCATCACTGAAAAGGCCCTGGCCTTGGTGGAGGATAGTCTGACTTCCTTAGGGCCCGGGACCTCTAAACTATGGTTATTCATGGACCTTAAGGTCCTCTGCGGGGCATACCAGGAGAGGCGGTCCCATAGATCCACTTTTGTGAGCCGTGTTTCTCTAGACAGGTGAGGACACCTTTTCAACCTGGTGCCCCAATGTTCAAAGCGTAACATTTTGAAGATTTCTGGCATAGAATCATCGAATCGTTGAGTTGGAAGGGACCATAAGGACCACGGAGTCCAACCCCCTACTATGCAATGTGAGGCTCAAACCTACAACCGTGAGATTAAGAGTCTCATGGCAAAGCTATCCAGAGGGCTCATAGAATAATTAATTCACAATATGCACACTTGAAACTTTATGGACTGTAGATAGCTTACGCTAATCAAGCCATTAACATGGCCTGAAAACATGCAAACATCAAGCTGGTTAACGTTTTTGCCAGCC